CAATTGGATGGAACCCTAGCTATAGATTGCAATAGATTCTGTTAATTACCAAAATTCCAGAAGATTCCATTAGCTTTGGTAAATTACCAGTAGCTTTGCAACCCTAGCTGTACACTTTACAGAGAATCAGTCTTGTGAATGAGGTGGTTCATGTGAAGCGATCATGGTGTCACAAAAGGTTTTTCTTATCTTGTCATTACAGTGCTGTGAATACGATATCTAAATGTTTTACTTCTCTTTTAACTACTAGAGTTAGTATTATTAACACAAAACACTTATTGAATTCATTTTGCCCCTGCTTTTTAAACTACACTGAACAAAAATATGAATGCAACATGTAAAGTGTTGGTCCAATGTTTAATGAGCTGAAATAAAAGATCCCAGAAATGGTCCATAAGCACAAAAAGCTTATTTCTCTCAAATGTTGTGCACAAATTTGTTTACGTCCCTGTTGGTGAGCATTTCTCCTTTGCCAAGTTAATCCATTCACCTTGGTGTAGCATATCAAGAAGCTGAATGTCCACCAGAGCTGTTGCCAGATAATTTAATGTTCATTCTCTACCATAAACCGCCTCCAACATCATTTTAGAGAATTTGGCAGTATGTCCAACCGCCTCACAACCGCAGACCATGTGTATGGCATTGTGTGGGCGAACGGTTTGCTAATGTCAACGTTGTGAACAGAGTGCCCCATGGTGGCGGTGGGGTTATGATATGGGCAGGCATAAGCTACGGACAATGAACACAACTGCATTTTATCGATGGCAACTTGATGAGATCCTGAAGCTCATTGTGAGGCCCTCTTTTTTTTAAGGTATCTGTGACCAACAGATGCATATCTGTATTCCCAGTCATGTGAAATCCATAGATTAGTGCCTAATGAATTTATTTCAATTGACTGATTTCCTTATATGAACTGTAACTCAGTACAATCTTTGAAATTGTTGCAAGTTGCATTTATATTTTTCTTCAGCATACATTTGTCCCGTGGAGCTCAGTTGGTAGAGCATGGCGCTTGCAACGCCAGGGTTGTGGGTTCGATTCCCACGGGGGACCAGTATGAAAATAAAAAAATGTATGCACTCACTAACTGTAAGTCGCTCTGGATAAGAGCGTCTGCTAAATGACTAAAATGTAAAATTTTAATGACATGAGATTAACCATAGTGAAAGTGATGATTAAAAACTAGGTTACTATCAGTATAAAGGACAATGTTTTAACGTAGACTTTGGTGAACCAGTTTGTGCTTTCTTGTAATTTATGTAAATAAAGTGTTATTTTTTATTATTAAAACAAATTGGCAGTGTGTATTTTGTTCACAAAACTCTCAAGGCAGTTTTGGTTGTAGCTCGACAGGATGGATTAAAGCAGTCATTGCCAATAGGTATTTGCACATCAAGTGTTCCGGAATGGAAGCAGTATACATTATTGTTCCTCAACCCTAATATGTGCCAGGGACTCACAAGCTAGGGTCCTTACTCCTTTAGGGACTGCTTACATTACAACTAGCAATTAAGAATCGACTAAATCAGTGTCGGCTAAGCATCTCCGAAACCAGTGATCATCCCAGCCCAGGGACCTAGAGAAACAAAGAATTGAATCTGTTTCAAATGACTATTGGATGCAACATCTACATAATATTACTATTCTCTCTCACAGTGGTTCCGGAGACACCAGCAATGAACTGTAAAGAGCAACTACCTCGTCTTAATAACCTCAGAAATGTAATCTCCTTTCCATAAATGCTGCAAGTGTATCAGCATTCTGAATCGACCATCAATACTGAGCAAAACAACACTGATTATTAGCCAGCACAGTCTGTATATTCCAATGGCTAAAGGATGCAGCATCAGCCTACAAACATACAGTGGGGGGAAAAAAGTATTTAGTCAGCCACCAATTGTGCAAGTTCTCCAACTTAAAAAGATGAGAGAGGCCTGTAATTTTCAACATAGGTACACGTCAACTATGACAGACAAAATGAGAAAATTTTTTCCAGAAAATCACATTGTAGGAATTTAATGAATTTATTTGCAAATTATGGTGGAAAATAAGTATTTGGTCAATAACAAAAGTTTCTCAATTCTTTGTTATATACCCTTTGTTGGCAATGACACAGGTCAAACGTTTTCTGTAAGTCTTCACAAGGTTTTCACACACTGTTGCTGGTATTTTGGCCCATTCCTCCATGCAGATCTCCTCTAGAGCAGTGATGTTTTGGGGCTGTCGCTGGGCAACATGGACTTTCAACTCCCTCCGAAGATTTTCTATGGGGTTGAGATCTGGAGACTGGCTAGGCCACTCCAGGACCTTGAAATGCTTCTTACGAAGCCACCCCTTCGTTGCCCGGGCGGTGTGTTTGGGATCATTGTCATGCTGAAAGACCCAGCCACGTTTCATATTCAATGCCCTTGCTGATGGAAGGAGGTTTTCACTCAAAATCTCACGATACATGGCCCCATTCATTCTTTCCTTTACACGGATCAGTCGTCCTGGTCCCTTTGCAGAAAAACAGCCCCAAAGCATGATGTTTCCACCCCCACCCCGGCTTAAGCAGGGGGACACGTCTGGCACTGCAGGATTTGAGTCCCTGGCGGCGTAGTGTGTTACTGATGGTAGGCTTTGTTACTTTGGTCCCAGCTCTCTGCAGGTCATTCACTAGGTCCCCCCGTGTGGTTCTGGGATTTTTGCTCACCGTTCTTGTGATCATTTTGACCCCACGGGGTGAGATCTTGCGTGGAGCCCCAGATCGAGGGAGATTATCAGTGGTCTTGTATGTCTTCCATTTCCTAATAATTGCTCCCACAGTTGATTTCTTCAAACCAAGCTGCTTACCTATTACAGATTCAGTCTTCCCAGCCTGGTGCAGGTCTACAATTTTGTTTCTGGTGTCCTTTGACAGCTCTTTGGTCTTGGCCATAGTGTGACTGTTTGAGGTTGTGGACAGGTGTCTTTTATACTGATAACAAGTTCAAACAGGTGCCATTAATACAGGTAACGAGTGGAGGACAGAGGAGCCTCTTAAAGAAGAAGTTACAGGTCTGTGAGAGCCAGAAATCTTGCTTGTTTGTAGGTGACCAAATACTTATTTTCCACCATAATTTGCAAATAAATTCAAAAAAATCCTACAATGTGATTTTCTGGATTTTTGTTTCTCAATTTGTCTGTCATAGTTGACGTGTACCTATGATGAAAATTACAGGCCTCTCATCTTTTTAAGTGGGAGAACTTGCACAATTGGTGGCTGACTAAATACTTTTTTCCCCCACTGTATATATATATACACATATCCTTTAAAAATATATATTTCCCTTCATTACTTTCCAACTCCACCACCGCTTCACCTAATTGGAGTAAACTAGTGAACAACAATGCTTAGGCCTCTACTTCCAGCTTATACATACTATATACATTTTATGGACAGTCAATTTTACAATAATTCAATTTTGTTTGATTTTACTCTTGAACTTCCTCTACCCTCAATCTCTCCGATCATTTTCATGATGTCCATCCAGTTTGCTTCTATATGCCATATCTTTCTAACTGTGCTCTTTCTCAAATGCTCTCAACCTATAAACGTATTATGTACACAGTATGCTTTACATTAGTTATCTTATTAGTTGCTGTTAATTGTTATTAGTCCCATCCTTCAACTTCATTCAACCCCACTTTCTCACAGAGGGATGAAATCACTTTGTGTATCAAGCGGAGTCTGCAGACATTCATTCAAATTTTGTCTCTGCGTCTCTCAGAAAATGCTCTGTCATCATCCATATGAAAAAGGGGTCAAATTTGAACTGTCAATAAATATGCTCATATTTATTTTAGTTAGTTATAAGGTGAAATCTTATAGTATGTTGTTAATAATTTGATTGGTACTATATTTATAAAGCATTTCAAGCCCTATTCCCCCACTTCTGAATAGAAAAAGAAATTATATTTTATATTTGTACTTAAGTTTGTGTCCTCAAGTGAGTACACCTCAGCAATTTATAATTATTTTTACCAGGTGAGTTCCAGATCTTCCTAGAACTATGCAGCATTACTAGTTATTGTTTATGGCCATCTCATGAAAAATAATTACTTTTGGGTATGTCTATTTAGGCAGAAATCTACATTTTGCCATAACATCCAAAAGGTCTTACCCATCTCAACCTCAGTGTGAACACCTATTAGCACCTTCATCACCTTCTAAAAATCTAGCTAGTGCTGTTTTTAAGCCCTATGGGCTAGGCCACCAAAGCTATGGTCTGTGCACCACCTATATTCCCAAGAGTTGAACCTTTTCACTTCAGATTGGCAGCAGGCCAAAATCTACATTTTAATCAATTTCACCTGCATTTTATAATTAAAGCCAAGAGTTGTTTTGCTTCAATAGAGAAGGGGCATGCCACTTTAGTTTCACACAAAATACATTAGTGCAACACATTCAGCAGAAAATAGTTTGACAGATAAAAGCAACGCTATTTGGCTAGCAGCCACAAGTAAATTAGCTTACACTGAAAAGCCAAGGTATTTTTTTTTGCTAAACGGTGTATGGCCATCATATTTCTAATGTTCATCATAGAATGTAGCCAGCTACATTTTAATGTTTTGCTTGAAGTTATTCTTGCATTTTAACTTTCTACCGGAGATAAACTACAGAGGAAATTACCCGCTGGTTATCGAATGAGAGCAAATTTCATCCGAGTGGAGAAGTGCAACTGAAGCATGAAATTACTCATTTTACATTCATGATTTGGAGCGAACCCTGACTGAAGCCGAGCAGAATTTACAATAAGAAGCATTTTAGATCATTAACACAACCTCTGGTGACAAAAGCTGTCAAAATAATTTCATTTTCAAATATCCAAATCACAGGGGATTCCTCAAACTACAGTCCACAAGCTGTGTAGCTGAGAGAATACAGGCACCAACAGCACAGACTGATATAAGTCGCAGACAGAGCACAAGACTTCAGTCAGTTCTAAATTGGAATGAAAAAGTAGTTTAACAAACCATTCACTGTAGTTAATTGATAGGCAATAATACAAATCGTTTTTCTGTAAAGAATTTAATTCACAAAATCAAATGTCATACATATTATATTCTAAGGCATACACAGATCAGCTACTCCCCATTTTCTTCTCCATTCACCTCTTCCTGCTCTGGCTGTTGTCTTTTCAGAGGAATAATGTAGAGTCCGTTCTTCGCTTCCTTCAGTCTCCACCAGCGACCAAGCCTGTAAACAACAAAAACTAAGACTTTAACAAAAACAAACAGACCGTTGACAAAAACAGAGATAATGCATGAATAAAGTTATGAGTAAAATTATCCGGTATATAAAAAGCCATTTAATCTTGTAATAAGGAAAGCAGAAAGGAGGTAATGCCATCACTGCCACTGAAGCAGTCTAGGGAGTCTTAGGATTTGAGCGTGAAATAACAGTGCCACCACATGGGCACCTGTCCTCATTGCAACTACTTCCATACAGAATACTGAAAACAGGCTTGTTAAAAAAAAAAAAAAAAAAAAAAAAAAAAAGGGTAGGCACTGAGTATATGATCAATATAGTGAGGTTTCTGATCAATCAATCAACAAGTCAGTCAGTGTATAATGCTAGTAAGTATGCTCTGGGCTATAGCTCTGTATGACAGGTAAGTAGGTGGGTACGTACCTGTGCTCCTGTCCCACTCCTGCCACCAGGAACTTCCCAGAACTGGAGAACTTTAGACTGTTGACAAAACCAGTCTACAAGAGAGAGGAAACAGAATACGCTGTATTGAGAAGACAGATGTTTTAGTGCAGAACACCCTTACTAGACACTTCCCCATACACATATAGGCCTATACAAATAGGCCCAATGCTTAATGTTGAATTATATCCAATGGCGCTTCCCACATATTGTCATGCTACACAATGATTGAATGCAATGCAAGGTGTATTATGTATGGAGCAGTGTAGCTGGGACTTGCTTACCACAGGGATGCTGAAGAGAGGCTCCAGATGACGGAACCCCTGACCACATCCCCACAGTTGCACCTTAGAGTTGTGGGAACCTGCAGAGTGACGAGACAACAGTTGTTCAATTCCAGCATCATCAATTGGACAAGTAAATATTAGCAGTCAACTCCTAATATATGACCAATGTTTGCTATGAATGTATGCACTAATACAGAGCATGCTGATATTCCTATGCACACTGCATAGATTTACAGTATACAAGGAGGGGTGGAAGTTCGGGGTTGATTGTTAAATAACTCAAAACGAGGTGTGTGATAGATAGACGAGACAGTATAGTAAAGTTGGTGAATAGCACTCCCACAGCCGAGGCTACTGTGTCAATAGTTCTGCAGTGCTGTGTGTATACAGAATGTACAAAACATTAAGAATACCTGCTCTTTACATGACAGACTGACCAAGTGAAAGCTATGATCCCTTAATGAAGTAATTTGTTAAATCCACTTAAAATCAGTGTAGATGAAGGGGAGGAGACAGGTTAAAGGACTTTTATGCCTTGAGACATGGATTGTGTGCCATTCAGAGTGAATGGGCAAGAAAATATTTAAGTGCCTTTGAACTGGGTATGGTAGAAGGTGTTCCTAATGTTTGGTATACTCAGTACATGTTGAATATAAGTTATAACTACGTTATAACTATTTTTTTTAAATGGCCTTATACATTTAATAACAGTTTTTACTCCGACAACTCAATATTAGGAAGGTGTTCTTAATGTTTTCTACACTGAGTGTAGATGGGTGTTATAAAGCTGATGACTCACAGCCGTTGGTACCTGAGGCTACGGTGTCAAAGTTCTGCAGAGCTGTACAGTCATGGTCAAAAGTTTTGAGAATGACAAATACTAATTTTCACTAAGTCTGCTGCATCAGTTTTGATGATGGCAATTTGCATATACACCAGAATGTCATGAAGAATGATCAGATGAATTGCAAAGTCCCTCTTTGCCATGAAAATAAACTTAATCCCCCCAAAAAATTCCACTGCATTTCAGCCCTGCCACAAAAGGACCAGCTGACATCATGTCAGTGATTCTCTCGTTAACACGGGTGAGAGTGTTGACGAGGACAAGGCTGGAGATCACTCGGTCATGCTGATTGAGTTAGAATAACAGACTGGAAGCTTTAAAAGGAGGTGGTGCTTGAAATCATATTGTTCTTCCGCTGTTAACCATGGTTACCTACAAGGAAACACGTGCCGTCATCATTGCTTTGCACAAAAAGGGCTTCACAGGCAAGGATATTGCTGCTAGTAAGATTGCACCTAAATCAACCATTTATCGGATCATCAAGAACTTCAAGGAGAGAGGTTCAAATGTTGTGAAGAAGGCGTCAGGGCGCCCAAGAAAGTCCAGCAAGCACCAGGACCATCTCCTAAAGTTGATTCAGCTGCGGGATCGGGGCACCACCAGTGCAGAGCTTGCTCAGGAATGGCAGCAGGCAGGTGTGAGTGCATCTGCACGCACAGTGAGGCAAATACTTTTGGAGGATGGCCTTGTGTCAAGAAGGGCAGCAAAGAAGCCACTTCTCTCCAGGAAAAACATCAGGGACAGACTGATATTCTGCAAAAGGTACAGGGATTGGACTGCTGAGGACTGGGGTAAAGTCATGTTCTCTGATGAATCCCCTTTCCGATTGTTTGGGGCATCCGGAAAACACCTTGTCCGGAGAAGACAAGGTGAGCGCTACCATCAGTCCTGTGTCATGCCAACAGTAAAGCATCCTGAGACCATTCATGTGTGGGGTTGCTTCTCAGCCAAGGGAGTGGGCTCGCTCACAATTTTGCCTAAGAACACAGCCATGAATAAAAAATGGTACCAACACATCCTCCGAGAGCAACTTCTCCCAACCATCCAATAACAGTTTGGTGACGACCAATGCCTTTTCCTGCATGATGGAGCACATTGCCATAAGGCAAAAGTGATAACCAAGTGGCTCGGGGAACAAAACATCGACATTTTGGGTCCATGGCCAGGAAACCCCCCAGACCTTAATCCCATTGAGAACTTGTGGTCGATTCTCAAGAGGCGGGTGGACAAACAAAAACCCACAACTTCTGACAAACTCCAAGCATTGATTATGCAACAATGGGCTGCCATCAGTCAAGATGTGGCCCAGAAGTTAATTGACAGCATGCCAGGGCGGATTGCAGAGGTCTTGAAGAAGAAGGGTCAACACTGCAAATATTGACTCTTTGCATAAACTTAATGTAATTGTCAATAAAAGCCTTTGACACTTATGGAATGCTTGCAATTATACTTCAGTATACCATAGTAACATCTGACAAATAGCATAACACTGAAGCAGCGAACTTTGTGAAGACCAATACTTGTCATTCTCAAAACGTTTTACCACGACTGTAGATGAGTGTTATAAAGCTGGTGACTCACAGCCGTTGGTACCTGAGGCTACGGTGTCAGAGTTCTGCAGAGCCGCCACGGCCGCTACCCAGTAGGGCTGCTCCAGCCCCGAGTCGCCATGCCGACCGTGGGCTGCCTTCACCGTGCTAAGGGGCTTCTTCTTGTTCACACTCCACAGGGAGACAGAGCTGGGGGAGGACAAGAGAAAGCTTTTTAGACTAATGAAAATATTTGTGCATTTGTAAGGAACCATTCCCTCACAAAGTGGTTGCAGAACCGCTAGAGGTGGAGTACGACGACACCTAGTGGAGTATATAAATCCACATTTACCCATCATCAGCGCCTGTTATCATGTGTTCTTCATTAATGAGCTGGATACAGTCGATGGAACCCCTGAGAGAGCGAAAATAAGTGGGAGGAGCATTACCAGTAGGTTAACACACAAGGATAATAGACACTCTCGCAGACCAACAGAGACTAGGCCTATACAGTGTTGTGAGACTGACTAATACAGAGAAGGAGAAGAAGACCAGGGGGACTCACTCATGGCCATGAAACACTAGCTGGGACTCCTCAGCGATCTTCCACACCCTCACAGTGCGGTCTCTCCCCCCTGCAGTCACACAGCGCTCCCGACTCCCACTGTCCAGCCCTGTGATCACATCCTGGTGACCAAACCTAGGGAGACACACAGTCAATAAAACACAAATCACATGCCCAAACCTGAAGAAACATAGACATTACTATTCAGCTACTTACAGTGTTTCCACATAGGCATTTTCATCCACGTTCCACACCTTGATGGAGCGGTCATGAGAGGCACTGTACAAGTCATGGGTGCCCCTCCTGAAGGAAAGGCCCTGTGGAGGAGAGATGGCACCGTTTGTGAAGGTAAATATGAAAGGATGAGAAAGCAAGAATAAAAGCAGATGGAAAAATGAATAAGGGAAGGGGTGAAAGGGGGTATATCTTACCGATACCGGGCCTCTATGTCCTGTGAACTTGTATAGATGTTTACATGTTGCTGCCTCCCAGATCATGATCAACTTATTCATGTCTCCAGTAGCCAGGTACTTGCCGTCCGATGATATAGACATACATAGGACATGGGCCGTATGTCCTACATGGCGATCCTCTGTTCCTTTCCTCCCACCAGCTATCGTATGCAGTCTCTTACCACTCTCAACATCCCCTGCAGTTACAGAAGACAATGGGAGAATGCATGAGTAAGCCCACTGACTGTTGCATTTTAGGTCACATGCAACTGATTTTGCACATTATATTTCAGTACAACATCAAACATAGATTATTTTGGCGAAGAGAGTATACAAACAAATATATTGTCCAGACTCACATTTGATGATTGAGCAGTCTTTGGCAGCGGAAAATATGTGTTTGTCATCAGGAGAGATGACCAGACAGGTGACTGGCAGCTTGTGGCCCCTCAACAGACGAATCTCTGACACATCTGGTGGCAGGAGCTGGAGACCACGACAACATAGGGACACATGAAGAGGACTGACAACTTACTTTACGGGCCATACAAAACTCATAGCACACCATGTTCCAGTATCAATAATAGTATACCACACATACATACACATATAGTTTCATTATAAGTAGTAAAATAGTGAGTGGTGGGCATGCACAGGGTGCTTTTATGGGAGACACCAAAACAAAGACACTCACATCTTTTGCAACCATCCGTTGGAGCTGTCCTTTCTGCTCAAGCTGAGGAAAAATTTTTTTTTTAACTATGAGATAAATAGCAGCAACCAAACTCATGTGACATTTTCTAGGGCCATACAAGCAACACAATGCTGTAGCTAGTTACACTTACCACTTCTTCTTGAAGTCTTCCAGCAATCAGGTCCATCTCAAAAGACTCCTCCTCTGCCTTCTTTTCTTCTGTTGATAAGACATGAAGACAGACCAGTAATGCATCAGATTCATAAAATGTCATTAAACGTTAACCATTTTAGGAGAGTTTTGTTGAAATTGATAATAGCTCGGTACAGTAGCTATTCCCTTACCCTCATCCCTCAATTGGTCGAGGTATAGTTTAGCTAATCGTAGTTTTTTCTCCTGTGGGGTCTCATCAAACTCTTCTTCGACATTGGCCCTCCTTTTTCTGTGCAGTGAAGGGCTACATAAAGAGATTGATTCAACTCATGGTTTGTCCACTCATACGGCTAAAATTAATCAGTTTGTTAGCCAACTTAGCTAAGTTAGTTAGCTAGCCAGCCAACTACACTTCGAGTAAGTTAACCTACCCTTCTGTTTCAGAGTCACTGGAGATTTCTTCATTGTGCTTTGAATTTAGTTTTTTCTTGAGTTTGTTTCCTGTGTCTCCATCGTTCTAAAGCAACAAAACACAAACAAACATCAAAGATTAAAAGAAAGCTACGTGTTAGACAGCATTGTAATATGTAAATAGCAAGATAAGTCCTAGGCTAAGTGTAGCTAGCAAACGTTAGCTCCGTACCTTTCGTTTTGAACCGACTGAATTCTCGTTCTTTTTGAAAACCTTTGGAGGTCCTTTTTTCTTTATAAAGAAAGACGACATGATTAAAGTATATAGATAGACTAACTATGAGACACTGTTACAATCTTACACTAGTTGGCACACATTTCGTCCACTCAAATCAACCTACGACCCACATGGGTTCTCTCTCTTCTGATTCAACCGAACTATGGATACCACAAACGCACGCATTCCAATAAGAGGTGTTGATTGGATAATATTGAGTCATTGGTTTGTCCCGCCCACAAGTACAGAGCTCTCATTGGACTATCGAGCAAGTAGAAACTAAAGTCCAGATTTGATTGGCTGAGAATGCAGATACGTTCAGCAGGAAACGTGTGCAGGAGCAAAATAACCGGAATTAGGGTTGTGAATAATCGGTTCTATCTCGTGGAGCTCCGCCCCATTGGGAAGCTCTGCTCCTATTGGTTTACCCCGCTGCCTAAGGAGGGTACATGAGAATGACCCTTCGTATCTAGTAGGAGTACGGTTTGTTAATAAGGAGCAGCTGAGCAGAGTACCAATCTTGAAGAAACCATTTCAGTTATCCAACCTGGTGGAGAGAGTGCTGGATAAAGTGATGGATGTGAGGATCACGAGAGGCGGGCTTGTTTAGATTTTTAATGATTCTGCGGATCAGAAGGAAAGTGCGTTGTGTCTTAATCGATTTGATAAGTTTGAAAGTGTTGTGTGTGTGTCGCTTCGGAACAGGGCACCCCTTAAGGGGGTTATATCTGGCGTTTCGTGGGAGTTGATTTGGAAAATATTAAAAATATTCCTGGAGTGATTGAAGCACCTCGGATGAATCGAGTGGTGAATTGGGAAAAGTGAAGATTTTAACTGTTCTTTTAGTTTTTTGAAATGGAGTCTCTACCTAATGAAGTGAGGTTAGGTTATATTAACTACAGAGTTAGAGCATTTATCCCAAGAACATTGCAGTGTGAACATTGTAAAGGTTTTGGTCATGTAGAAAGTGTTTGCAGAAGGGAGAAGCCGAAATGTACAAGATGTGGAAAATATCATATTATGTGGTATAAAAGTGACGCAAATGTGACATGTTGTAATTGCGGTGGGAATCATGAAGCCACGTCTTCTGAATGCCCCACAAGGGTAAAAGAGAATGAGGTGGCCAAAGTCAGGGTTGTACAGATCATTTCATATGCAGAAGCTGTGAAAAGGGTTGAGGGTTTGAATGTTGCACCAGAAGAGTCCATGGTAGGGGATAGGCCTTTAATTGAGACTGCAGGGGTTGTCTTACACCAAGAGGATTCTGACATTTTAAAGGTTAAAAAGGTGGACTTTGTGGCCTTTATCGCAATGGTGATAAATGGCACTGCCAAGGTGGAGAAAAGATCTCATTGAAGATTGAAATCATTGTGATTGCGGCGGAGCGGTTCCTGGGGCTGAAAGATTTCACAGCAAAGGATTTACATGGAATATTAGCAAAAGCCGTACCACCTTCTCAGGTCCTAGAGCCTGAGAAGCAAGATATGGAGAACTAAAAGAAGGAAGAAGTGGGAGTTTTGTTTGTTTTGGCAATGTACTATTTTTATTAGGGTGGATTGTTAGAATCACTATTAAGTGTGGATTTATTTGTTTTTATTTTGGTTTCAAATTGTCCAGTTGGTGGCGGCAATACAACTTTTGGATGTAGTCTGCCATAAAACCCACAGAAGAAGAAGAAGAAGAAGATGCAGTGGCAAAATCCTTCCCAAAAAGTTGTGATCCTGACACATTTTTCCTAGCAGAAAGCAGTTAAACCAAGTAAATAATTAACAGGATTAAATCATGTTTTTACATTAAGGTTACATGTTAAGCACAAACCTAGAATAATTGGAATGATCTCATTTAATTTAAGAAGCACATTTTCTCATTGCCATCAAGCACACACTGAAATACTTACTGCGACCAAATACACACCGCAGTAATACTTAATCTCGCTACTAGCTAGTGCCAGCTTTTCTATGTACTTACAAGTATTTGTATCCATTCTCACTGTCTTAGCAATTACATTTTATACACTGGTGGGTGGGTAACTTTAGCAGCAATATGATGTGTTAAAATCTGTAATGTGTTGCTTGTCCAATTATTAGGAAATACCAAAAGCTGCGAACGTAGAGCTCACGTCCTGATAACGACCCATGATATGGCATCCACAGAGATGATTCAATACGGTTACTGAAGATGCAGTGTCATCAATGTGGTAATAACCTATTTTAATTTAATCCCCATGTAAAACTAATGGATTTAAAAGTTGATGGAAGAAATTAATGTACGGTTTCAATATTTATATTTTATTTATTCAAATACACAATTGAATTATAGTGCTCCAGACCTGATGAAAATACGTTTTGTGTATTTAGTCAAATTTCTGTGCCTGTGTTATACAGTGCCTTTGGAAAGTATTCAGACCCCTTGACTTTTTCCACATTTTGTTACAGCCTTATTATAAAATGGATTAAATAAATACAAATCCTCAACAATCTACACAAAATATCCCATAATGACAAAGTGAAAACAGGTTTGTAGAAATCTTTACTAATTTATAAAAAGAAAACACAAAAACACTGCAGTACCTTATTTGCATAAGTATTCAGACCCTTTGCTATGAGACTCGAAATTGAGCTCAGGTGCATCCTGTTTCCATTGATCATCCTTGAGATGTTTCTACAACTTGATTGGAGTCCACCTGTGGTAAATTCAATTGATTGGACATGATTTGGAAAGGCACACACCTGTCTATATAAAGTCCCACAGTTGACAGTGCACGTCAGAGCAAAAACCAAGCCATGAGGTCGAAGGAATTGTCCGTAGAGCTCAGAGACAGGATTGTGTCGAGAAATAGGTCTGGGCAAGGGTACCAAAACAATTATGCAGCATTGAAGGTCCCCAAGAACACAGTGGCATCCATTATTCTTAAATGGAAGAAGTTTGGAACCACTAAGACTCTTCCTAGAGCTTGCTGCCCAGCCAAACTGAGCAATCGGGGGAGAAGGGCCTTGGTCAGGTAGGTGACCAAGAACCCGATGGTCACTCTGACAGAGCTCCAGAGTTCCTCTGTGGAGATGGGAGAATCTTCCAGAAGGACAACCATCTCATGCAACACTCCACCAATCAAGCCTTTATGGTAGAGTGGCCAGGCAAAAGCCACTCCTCAGTAAAAGGCACATGACAGCCCACTTGGAGTTTGCCAAAAGGCACCTAAAGACTCTCAGACCATGCTGTGGGGATGTTTTTCAGCGGCAGGGATTGAGAGACTAGTCAGGATCGAGGCAAAGCTAAACAGAGCAAAGTACGGAGAGATTCTTGATGAAAACCTGTGCCAAGCTTGTAGCGTCATACCCAAGAAGACTCAAGGCTGTAATCGCTGCCAAAGTTGCTTCAACAAAGTGCTGAGTAAAGGGTCTGAATACTTATGTAAATGTGATATTTCCATTTTTAATACATTTGCAAACATTTCTAAAAACCTGTTTTTGCTTTGTCATTATGGGGTATTGTGTGTAGATTGATGAGGAAAAAAACACATTTAATCAATTTTAGAATAAGGCTGTAATGTAACAAAATGTGGAAAAAGTCAAGGGGTCTGAATACTTTCCAAATGCACTGTATGTGTTAGGCTTGGGCGGTATACCATATGTACCATATACCAGGGTATTTGGAAAAAAAACTATGGGAGGTTTTTTAATACCATCAATACCATTGAAACTATTTATTTGAGTTTTTTTTTATAAATTGGAATATTTGTAGCTACTTTTTAAGGAAATACTTGCAGTCAACTTGTGCAATATGTCAGGAGATAAAGAACATTGCGTTCTTCATTTCACCTGTCACATTATTATGTAGCTTATGGTAGTCCTCAGTCACGTGCACATGGTTTTTGTTTACAAGCACACAAAGACGAGAGACCTGTAGTGCAGCATGCGCCAGGTGATCTAATTACAGTATAGAATTCACAACTAAACTGTTTGCCAGCTAGATATCTTATAACTATTAACTTAACTGTGTAAAATCTGCTAAATGCTCTGCAGTTGTGCATTTGGTTTGCTGATTTAGTAGCTAGTTAGCTATCTAGCTAAGTTTTTAGCTTCTTCCAAAATCAAGCATTCACTTCGTAACAGCAGCGAATTCGCTCCTGGATCAAGAGCCTTGTTGGCTAATATTCGTTTTGTGCGTGCAGCAAACAGTCAGTAGCATTTTTGAGTTACTTGTATGCTTGTATAGTTTAGGGCAGAAACTGTACAAAATGTTTGCAATGCGCTCGTTAGCATTTAGTTAGCATTCTCTATGAGCATTCCGTAGTGCTTGTTAGCATTCTGTTAGCATTCTAGTAAGTGAATATTAGTACTTTTTAAATACCTGCAGTCAACTTGTGCTCTAGGTAATAGATAAAGCAGATCGAGTTCATCATTTCACCCATTAGATTATTTTTTATTTTTTATTATGAAGCTTACCGGTACTAGTTTCCCAAAACAGCGGTTTGAGCCAGTCACCTGTGTTTGTTTACAAAGAAGCACAAGGAGCAAAATGGTAGCTTCGTGAGATGAGTCATTTCTGCAGCGCAACTTAAGTGAGGTGATCAAGTTACACTTGTATAAAATTCACAGCTAATGTTTGCCAGCTATATATCGTAACTATTAAGTTAACTATCTAAGATGTGCCAAATAAATTCTCTCCAACTAGGTTTTGCTAACTTGCTAATGTTAGCTAAGTGGCGAACATTAGCTTGCAAGATCAAGCTTGGTAACAGCAGAGACCATCCCCTCCTAGATTAACATAATTTTTTTTTGGTGCATGCTGCAAACTGCGTTTTGAGATACTTGCATAACTTTATGAGCATTTACCTATCATTCGGTATGAGAATTCCTTAGTACTTGTTAGCATTTTGTTAGCATTCTGGTAAAAAAAATGTGCGCCCCTTGTGTGCACCACCAGTAATACCGGATGGCACAGGCACAGTATGGAAATCTGGATACCGCCCAACCCTAATATGTGTACGCTACTGTTACCACAGCACATTGCTATCACCTTATTACAACTGTGTAATATGCTCTTTTATTATCTTCTTTCATAGAAACCATTACCATTAGTTCCCTCCTCTGTAAATTGTGTGTGTGCCTGTCTTGGGTGTGAACACAGGAAATACATTTTTTGATTTAAATAATTCTAATCAAATTTTAAATTACCAGGACTCTGGGGCAGTTGTACCTATACTAAACTGGCACCTCTCACATATTAAAGCCTATTTTCATTTCAAATGATAAGATATATTGATAAAACATCTTTAAATAATATTATTTTCCAGAGCACGTGAGGATAGCGTTTGAGGATTACAGTGCGATCCGAGCTGCAATCAGAACATAGTTGAATAATGAAGACAAACTGTTGAAGAACAGACTTGGGAGCCGTTAAAACAACCATATACCAGGTTAGAATCACACAATTGTTGACATTGCAAGTACTGTACTCTGTCCTCTAAATGCAATGTTTTGTTCCTCCAACAGTGTGTAGCAGTTTAGTTGTGGGATGTCACTTTTGATCAGAAGGATTTTGACTTTGTCTCAGTTTGTATGATTTAAGAGTACTGTAGATTAAATGTATTATAGATTTTATTTGTGATATATTCACTCACATAGTAGCCTTAACAACACATTGTACTATAATGAGTGTGCCTATTAAAGAAATGTATTTCCAATTCCTTCTCATCTCACAATATCCAGTCTGGTCTTCACTGATGCTATTAAAATATGTTTTGCAACTGTTTATCCAAATACAATAAAACATGTTGAACCCCTAATTGTGTGTGTACTCGTAGGACCCAGGGGAGTCCTGGAAGGACAGGAGGAGGACAGAGAAGTGTGTGTAGGCTGATGCATAGCAAACAATGTGTGACAGTCACAGCCATATACTGACTGAGAGAAAGAGAGAGCGAAACAGAGTGTGGGCGGGACAATGAGGGTGGGCTTGGTTTCACAAAAGCATCCTCACCAATGATCCTCTGTTGATAATGTGATTCTAACGTTGACCGGTGGCTAGCCCCTCCCCCATCTAGCCAGCCAGCTGTGCTATCTCTGAGGTCCCTAGTCTGCACATCACCTATCAGTTTATCTCTCCTCTCCTCTGACACCTTCACCAGTCCTACCCAGGAGTCCTTCCCACAGGATATCCATCCATCAGGGATACTTATCAATCAAGGACCAGGAACAGGGGGAGCAGAAGGAGCGGAGTGCCCAGCCTTAGCGAGCCGTCCCTGGTGTCAGATCTAGAGGTTGATGGGTACTGAGAGAGGTCTGGAGAGTTAGGGAAGGGTACACCTGTTGTCTTACATCTGTTGGCACTGACCCAGACTTCAAAGCTTTATGGCTCGCCTGGATACATAAGATACATAAGGGAATTCCAGTCCACCTGGGAACAGAAGAACCCCTGGACCATCCACGTAGTTAACCCTATATAACTTGAGGAGCGGAAGTTGGACGGGAGGATTTTATGTGTTTATGATAAACATCCATTCACAATTCATGTCAGGTGAGTTATGATTTAATAATTAAAAATGTGATTAGAATTATTTTAATCAAAAAATGTATTTCCTGTGTGTGTAAGCAAGTCCAGGTTTACCAAATAGATTTGGTGCCTGAAATAAACACTATTGGCACTTTGAAGTGGTGCCTATATTGATAACCCTTATTGTGTAATTCGATTTTAGATATATGAACATTCTTAGCGTACATGTTGAAATATGCTCAGGTAGCCTATTATTTAGCTGGAGCTCAGTGTGTTGGGTGTTAATCGATGCACAAAAACAGCCTAAAGGCAGTTGTATGCTGATCATCAAGAGGATGTTTCACATAAAGAGGTGTGATTTATTTGTGGCAGATGTTTTCATTTCAATCAAATTGTACTAGATCACTCATTCAAGTACATAATACCCTCTTGGTCTCCCGAAACTGACAGTCCTTTTTCAATTGTCCTGGTCTAGACATTTTCGAAAACCATACATTTTGATGGACAAAATACTTATAATAGACTTTTATAAAAGTAATCTTCCTGAGAATGAAGTGATATTGAACCAAATGATATTGCATGGCTTAAAATGGCCAGTTCAGAAGCCTAGTTTAGACCTTAAAAGGAGATGCCATATGCTGTATGTAGGCTTAATACTAGGACAGGATGAAAACGGGGACATCCTTACATAACGCACACGAGAACGTACATGCACTGACTAGTCCTTTTCGTACTGTGGATAAATCTCATTACTAACATGGCATGCCAATCTGCCGGTTGGCCACCAGAGCCGATTACAGAGGGAGAGAGCATCAGTAGAGCAGCACTAGTCTGTCACCAAGCACATGGAAACAGGACACAACAGAACAGCATGCATAGTCATAGGTTCTGGGAAACTGATGATGCTCCTAGCACAGCAGTCATTCAGGTGACAGTGTGTGTGTGTATGTGAAACAGGAACAGCAAAACATTAAAGGTTGGGGTTTTTGGGGTTGTTTCACTCTTATCTTCATGGCACGCACATGAAGGGGAGCAGGGCATAATGTGTGAGACATGTGTAATGCTGCTTTGAAGTCATCCACACACCTGATTTCCCTCTGACATGTGACACACCTTAAAAAGGTTTAGATGCTACAGTACATAAGAAGACACTCAATACACACATACGGTTCTGATAAACAGGAGCATGTGAAATGTTAATGTGATGAGGCCTATGTTGTGCATTGTTGTTACCAAAAGCTGAATACAGTGTTCACTGAACTATATTGTATTTGATGGAGATGGAGAGCAAGTCTGTCCTGGTAAGAGGATGTGTGTGTGTGTCTTTGGTGGCCCTATGCAGGCCCTACGCATGCAGGGTGACACTAGGCACATACCAATCAACAGTACCAGTTCCCCGCAGCTGCATGGCTAAAACAAGCAAGCTCATTATCTTTCATTTCAAAAGGTTAGGGAAAGATAGAAGGATGGAGGAGAAAAAGAGAGAGGGAGAGAGTGTCCTCTCCTCCATGAATTATTCCTATTGATCAGGTCCCTGTCCTAATATCCTCTTACAGAGAGAGCGAGAGTGAGAGAGAGCGAGGGGGGAGGGGAGCGAGAGAGAGCATCCTTTCTTTTATAAATAGTCCCACAATCCAAAGGGAAATGTTATAGATGTCCTTTTCCATATATTTAAGGTAGATAGTAGTAGACATCTGTGTCAATCAACTGTGTTGAAACTAATAGGCAGTAACAACATAGAGGGGTTAAATCTATGGATACTTGTGAACACAAGGGATAGGCCTACTGTAAAGTGTCTACAAAATGAAAGCAGATTATATTCCTAAATAACAGAAAAATGTCACTTCCATTGTGGATTTGATGTTAAATAGTTGTTATTATCCCTCGACAGTATTAAGTGGGACATTACAATAATGAAAACGGAACAGGGCTTAACAGTGTTTACGCATGCAGAGGTAATCTCACTTTAAACTCCTGTTGTATGTCTCTTGCAATGTTGAATTATGATATCAGTGTTTGTGTTGTTTTCACCACTGTGTATTTCAAGATGTAATGGCCTACAGAACTTGGCTTATGATGATTTACTGCCAATACAAAAGTATCCCCAAAAACAAACCCAGTCCGTTGACGATGTCTTCATTTTTCTTCCAACAGGGAAACAGTATAACTGTTTGACTCTTAAACAGAAGGAATCATCTGGCTCACCACACCAGTGAAAGATGGGGGAGTCTAGGCCTAATGATATGCTCATTATGTCTGTTCTGGAACTCTCATTGTGAACTATGGAACACTCAGGTTCACCACTGACCCCTGACCTCAATGATACGACAGCCAATGAGAGCCTGTGGGGGGGGCTGGGGGCACCCCTCCCTTCAGCCCCAAGCAGACAGCTGGGCACCTTGCCCAACGCCCAGACACGCTTCAAGGACCTGTCGGGGATATTCTTCATGGTGACCCTGAACGTGGTGGCGTTGCTGGCTAACACAGCCGTGCTGCTGGTGGTGGTCAAGGCCCCGCACCTCAGGTACTTTCATACTTTTTGATATATTTGACCATTTAAAAACATAATTCAACCACAATGGATAATCATCAAGGATAACACACAAGTGAATACAATGCATAATCAACAAGGATAACATAAAACAGTTTAACAACTTATTTCCATTGTGGTCATCTTGTTTTGGCCGGCAGGCAGATAAAAAATACACCAGATTATAAATACATGAAAACATAAAATGAACTTGGGTCCCTTATGATTTTCTAATGCACTGATAATGTATGCACAATTCCCTTGTTTCTATTGCTTATACTATTAAAAGTTTTATCTTATGGAATTTAAATATATATATATCTATTGTACTTGTTTCACCAGACATCAGTGCTTAAGTTCAATTTGGTCTAATGAACCCATACAGAAAAAAAATACATTTCAACATATTTAACATAACGTAAAATGTATTTCAAATACATATAGATACATTTGTATCTTTGCTAAAATGCATGTAATACCTTAAAATGTATTCCAGAGATGCGTGTACAAACATTTGCATTTTTGCTCAAATGCATGTAATGCCTGACAATATTGCAGAAATGCATGGCTATGACATCTAGACTACAGGGTGGCCAAAGTAGTTCCTAATTCGGCTTTTTAAATTACTGTAGATAATATTTTGGGCCACCAAGCCAAAACTTTGGCAGTGATATAATTAAAATTGTCATTTTAACATTATGTTATAAAGAGCACAAGTTCAACTTCATATAAAAAAACTAATTTTACCATCTCAACAGGTAAAAAAATATGACTATAGTAGGTGCCCTTCTTCAGCCTAATTAAATAGGCTAAGGGAGAGGTCTAAATTTACACAATAGTTACCCTGAGGGGCCTCCCGAGTTGCGCAGCGGTCTAAGGCACTGCATCGCAGTGCTTGAGGCGTCACTACGTTTGATCCCAGGCGTTTGATCCCAGGCTGTGACACAGCTGACCGGGAGACCCATGAGGCGGCGCACTATTGGACCAGCGTTGTCCGGATTAGTGGAGGGTTTGGCCGGCCGGGATGTCCTTATCCCATCGAGCTTTAGCGACTCCTTGTGGCGGGCTGGGCAAGCTGACTTCGCTCGCCAGTTGTACAGTGTTTCCTCCGACACATTGGTGTGGTTGGCTTCCAGGTTAAGTGAGCAGTGTGTCAAGAAGCAGTGCGGCTTGGCAGGGTCTTGTTTCGGAAGACGCATGGCTCTCGACCTTCGCCTCTCCCGAGTCCGTATGGGAGTTGCAGCGATGGGACAAGACTGTAACTACCAATTGGGCAGAAAAAGGGGTAAAAGTAAAAGAATAATATGTTAAACTGTGGAAAATGGGGGAGGGTCATGCCATTTGTAATCAATTAAATGTCATATTGCTCAGGGTTTGAGAATTAGTTGCTTATTATAGTATCTCATGTGTGCCCAAAGATGCCCCTCATCCCTGATTCTCTGCTGGGCACGCAATATCAAGTGCGCCTAGTGTGATCTCAATAAAATGATCCATAGCCTATACCAGTCTTTTTCAAACCCCAGCGCAGTTCTGTGGAGGAATGCTTGCAGGTTTGCAGCATATTTGTCTTGAATATTATTTGGGTTTTTTTTGTGGTCTGCGGCATATTTGACTCAAATAAATACTTGCCATAGGCAGACTTGCCCAATGCACTGAACTATGCATGCCACAGTAAACAAATTGTGTTTCCATGACTAAGTATAGCTACACCAAAAACACACACACACAAGCTAACCCTGCTGCGCAGCCTGAATGTTCTCTCTCTTGCTGGATCCTTTTCAAATGAGACCTGCCCGCCAAAACCGGTCTGTGTGATATGTCTGACTTGCCTGAGCAACAATGCTATGAAGCCATCGAAAATGCGCAGACATTTAGAAACAAAGTATCCACATCTCGAGGATAAACCAGATTATTATTTGCTGCACAATAATTTCACAGACAATGAGAGTTTACTGGAGGCTTCATACGGTGCCTTGCAAAAGTATTCATCCCCCTTTGGCGTTTTTCCTATTTTGTTGCATTACAACCTGTAATTTAAATGGATTTTTATTTGGATTTCATGCAATCGACATACACAAAATAGTCCAAATTGGTAAAGTGAAATGAAAAGAATAACTTGTTTCAAAAAATTCTAAACGATAAATATTAAAAAAGTGGTGCATGCATATGTATTCACCCCCTTTGCTATGAAGCCCCTAAATAAGATCTGGTGCTACCAATTACCTTCAGAAGTCACATAATTAGTTAAATAAAGTCCACCTGTGTGCAATCTAAGTGTCACATGATCTGTCACATGATCTCAGTATATATACATCTGTTCTGAAAGGCCCCAGAGTCTGCAACACCACTAAGCAAGGGGCACCATGAAGACCAAGGAGCTCTCCAAACAGGTCAGGGACAAAGTTGTGGAGAAGTACAGATCAGGGTTGGGTTATAGAAAAATATCAGAAACTTTGAACATCGCACGGAGCTCCATTAAATCCATTATAAAAAAATTGAAAGAATATGGCACCACAACAAACCTGCCAAGAGAGGGCCGCACACCAAAACTCACGGACCAGGCAAGGAGGGCATTAATCAGAGAGGCAACAAAGAGATCAAAGATAACCTTGAAGGAGCTGCAAAGCTACACAGCGGAGATTGGAGTATCTGTCCATAGGACCACTTTAAGCCGTACACTACACAGAGCTGGGCTTTACGGAAGAGTGGCCAGAAAAAAGCCATTGCTTAAAGAAACAAATAAGCAAACACGTTTGGTGTTCGCCAAAAGGCATGTAGGAGACTCCCCAAACATATGGAAGAAGGTACTCTGGTCAGATGAGACTAAAATTGAGGTTTTTGGCCATCAAGGAAAACGCTATGTCTGGCGTAAACCCAACACCTCTCATCACCCGAGAACACCATCCCCACAGTGAAGCATGGTGGTGGCAGCATCATGCTGTGGGGATGTTTTTCATCGGCAGGGACTGGGAAACTGGTCAGAATTGAAGGGATGATGGATGGTGCTAAATACAGGTAAATTCTTGAGGGAAAACTGTTTCAGTCTTCCAGAGATTTGAGACTGGGACGGAGGTTCATCTTCCAACAGGACAATGACCCTAAGCATACTGCTAAAGCAACAGGGGAAACATTTAAATGTCTTGGAATAGCCTAGTCAAAGCCCAGATCTCAATCCAATTGAGAATCTGTGGTATGACTTAAAGATTGCTGTACACCAGCGGAACCCATCCAACTTGAAGGAGCTGGAGCAGTTTTGCCTTGAAGAATGGGCAAAAATCCCAGTGGCTAGATGTGCCAAGCTCATAGAGACATACCCCAAGAGACTTGCAGCTGTTTTAGAGTTGAAGTGTACCTATGATAAAAATTACAGACCTCTACATGCTTTGTAAGTAGGAAAACCTGCAAAATCGACACTGTATCAAATACTTGTTCTCCCCACTGTATATGAAGAATTTCGTTGTTGCAAAGAGTTGCCTCAGAATACAACTGCAGGTGAAACATTACATTTTCTGTTTGAGTACATAAGGGACATGGATTACAATGGGACCGTTGTATCGGGATCTGTAGGCCTACGGATGAGACAGCTGCTCAACCTGTCCATGCAGGGACACGCAAGTGACATTACCCAAGCAAATTAAAAAATTGCCGATTTCAAGAAAAAGCTGGGCGTCTGGAGAGACCGAGCATATAGAGGCCTTTTCGATATGTTCCCCCTATTCTCAACTCTGGCTGACGTGGGTGATGTATATATGGATGACGTGGAAAATTATGTGGTCACATCTGAGCAAAACTCGGGATTACTTCCCCTCACAATCTGATCCACACCCGGGAAGGCACTGTTGTGTGCGCGAGCGTTGCAAAATAAATGTAGACGCTTGAAGCGCTGCAAGTCCCGCCTCTCCCATCTCCTCATATATTTTATATATATATTTTAGTCATTTAGCAGACGCTCTTATCCAGAGCGACTTACAGTTAGTTCTTTTTTCATTTTTTTCATACCCCCTGTGGGAATTGAACCCACAACCCTGGCGTTGCAAACGCCATGCTCTACCAACTGAGCTACATCCCTGCCGGTCATTCCCTCCCCTACCTTGGACGACGCTGGGCCAATTGTGCGCCGCCCCATGGGTCTCCCGGTCGCGACCGGCTATGACAGAGCCTGGATTCGAAACAGGATCTCTAGTGGCACAGCTAGCACTGCTATGCAGTGCCTTAGACCACTGCGCCAGTCGGGAGGACATCATCAGTTTTTAGGAGCATATACCCACATGGGTGATTGAAAGATGAACTGAGGTCCACACTCCAGTCCAGTTTGTGGTGGTAATGCACCTTAAAGATGGTTGCCAACCGCCATGTAAATTCCACAGAAGAAAAAGAAGAAGAAGAAGAATTCTCCCTGTCTCTGGCCCACACTCCAGTACAGTAGGTGGCGGTAATGCACTATAACGTTGGATGCCAACTGCTGATAAACCCCACTGAAGAAGAAGAAGAAGAAGAAGAAAGGGGAGGAGGAGGAGGAAAAAGACTGAAGGAGGAGAGATTACTAGAATCTAACTAGGTTTCTCCTTGTATCTGTAGATTAATTGTCGGAGTAGAGAACACACGATTTTGTGTGACTCAAAATGGGTCAGAATTCTACAAAGATCCAGAAAAAAAGGATTTCAGGTAAAATAACAACCCAATGTTTATATCCCAGGACAAATTAGCTAGCAACAGCAAGCTAGCTAGCTAGCTAGCTAAATGTCCATGAATGTTTCATGTGTTTTGACCTGTCTTCAAATTAATATAGTTGGTTCAGAGTTTGTTTTGATATTTCAAGCTGCGTGTCCTGATTGTGTCTGGTTTTGGATGGACAAAATCAACATGCGTGCGATTGCACACGGACTCACGCGCGTGCCTGGTCTAGACAGCATTTCACAGCTTGTCAACGGTTCTTGATGATAAACTATTGGAGCTGTCCTGTGACCAAGGCCTGCACGTTTGTTTTAATGAGATGCGCCTGTCCACACTGGCTGTTCAGCAGCAGAGAATACCCGCAACTCTACAAGATGGCAGTGAAGACATTAATCCCCCTTCATTCTACCTACTTATGTGAGACCAGCATCTCCTCTCTTGCTGCAACAAAATCCAAACATTGCAACAGACTAGCTGTTGAAAACACCTTGACACCTCTGGGGTGTCCCTGGCACAAAAAGAGAAGAGAAGCACAGGGCAAAGTTATATTTCTAAGAAAATGTACTTCCTTCCTGAGATTTTGCGCTGCTGGGATGGTGTATATAAAACTAGGCTACAGTGCATCACACACTGCAATGAATAGACGTTCCCAATCATGAGCCCCAGCCTGCCCTGCTCTTGCTGATGTAAACTCTTTTGTGCTGCCTAACCAATGACTGTGCTGTGTATGGTGGCACTTCAGGAGGCAAGTCAATTTGTCAAAAAATTCAATATCTGTGCACACAGACTAGGCCTACTGATGTCTTGTTCAGCCGTAAAGATGAGAAGGAGGACAGGAGGTAAGCTTGCTATTGCTATAATTTATTTTAATAAAAACAATGTTTCGTTGCCCATAATGAAGCTATTTATCAGAGTTATTATTGACCTCACAATAAACCATATTTGAGTAGTTTGCATACATTACTATGAAGTGGCAGCTGCGGAGATGGACAGCGCATGGGTGCTGAAAGTAGGCTAATTTGATAAGACCTAATTCATTTACATTTACATTTAAGTCATTTAGCAGACGCTCTTATCCAGAGCGACTTACAGTTAGTGAGTGCATACATTTTTTTTTCACACTTAACAGTCTTCATTTTAATTTTAATTTAGGCTACTAACAACAAGAGTGTTGGAGCCTATTTCTTCCTATTTAATAAATAAGAGGTAGGCCTACCTGTTTGACAGACGAAATAATAGTCTGCTATCCATAGATTTGTTCAGCCAATTCCTTCAGTCACCATGCACTCCTTAAATATCTGTGTCAGTGAAGAGCTTGGTGTGTTAAGTTAAAACCAGGGCTTGAATTGAGGGGGTATGGGAGGGTATTGTGGCTTTTGTTAAAGAAAATGGTTAAAAGCATAGGCCTACCCCTTGTTAATTTAAGATTTTGAAAACATATGTAATGGACCTGATTATATAAAGCGACCTATAACGACACTTTAATCCGCAATGCTTTATGCTAGAAACAAGCTGTAAAATGCCGGGGAAAGACGTGACACTGATGCATATGGGATATATTTGGTTTGTCTCTATGACATTCAGAGGCTGCGCTACAACCTTCTATAGCTGAGGACGAGGAGCCAAACAATTTACTTTGCATGGGAAGTAATGAGTCTGTCACTAATTGACGTTTTACATTTCAACAGGCTATTAAACAACATACTAACTCTAAATCAGCCAGGAGCAAGCCAGGTAGCCTAAGAAGGCACGAAAATGAATTATTTAGGCTATATTATTATTATTTCAAGGCTATAGCCTGCCATTTAAGAAATCAATTGTGAAGCATTTGTGACACACTACAGCCTGGCATGAGTGCTCACTATTTCAACAACACATCAACAACAGCACTTCAACAACATGCCTATAAATTTAGCATTTAGGCTGTATAAAATGAAGAAAAAAAATGACTTAGAAGGCAATAATAATGAAACGAAAAATGCCTTATTATGCTATGCAGTCATTATACAGTGCCTTTGAATTCACTTTTAGAAACAGAGTTTGGCCAGTCTTTGGTTTGAGGATCATGTGGTGAGCTATGCATGCCTAGTTTGTTAATTTAGCAGATGCTCTTATATTCCAATGCCCTAATCACAATCAACATACATCTATTTTGTAACAACAATATCATGGAATAAAATAGAATATATTATAAAATGATTGTTTCCCAAATGAAAAAAAGTTACATGTGCATACCTGATGATATGTGGCTGCTGTGTTAAACAATTACTGTTTTTTTTCTCGAAATCATTGATGATCAGATACTTCAGTTGTAACTGGTTCTATTGTGCTATTATTTATTTATTTTTTACACTTGATAGACAACTTTAGCACTGTTCCAACCTTAGACTATCGTCGTAATTTTTTTTGCCTGTATAGAAATCAAAACGTCTCCGGTGCTGCAGCATGCGCTCATTCATTGTCATGCTCTGTTGTGGTATAAAAAAAAATATTCAGCTTATCTCCAGTCATGTAAAATGACTTAGAATTGCGTGAAATGCGTTTATAAAAGGTTATCAGTTGATAGATTCATGCACATGAAAGACATGGAGTCACTATATGACCGATAATGTATCATTTTTGTAGTCATTTAAATGCATGTTAGTGCTTTTGATATGCTTTCGGTATGTGTCAAGTACAATAAAAATGATTTTTGATAATATACACTGCTCAAAAAAGTAAAGGGAACACTAAAATAACACATCCTAGATCTGAATGAATTAAATAATCTTATTAAATACTTTTTTCTTTACATAGTTGAATGTGCTGACAACAAAATCACACAAAAATGATCAATGGAAATCAAATGTATCAACCCATGGAGGTCTGGATTTGGAGTCACCCTCAAAATTAAAGTGGAAAACCACACTACAGGCTGATCCAACTTTGATGTAATGTCCTTAAAACAAGTCAAAATGAGGCTCAGTAGTGTGTGTGACCTCCACGTGCCTGTATGACCTCCCTACAACGCCTGGGCATGCTCCTGATGAGGTGGCGGATGGTCTCCTGAGTGATCTCCTCCCAGACCTGGACTAAAGCATCCGCCAACTCCTGGACAGTCTGTGGTGCAACGTGGCGTTGGTGGATGGAGCGAGACATGATGTCCCAGATGTGCTCAATTGGATTCAGGTCTGGGGAACGGACGGGCCAGTCCATAGCATCAATGCCTTCCTCTTGCAGGAACTGCTGACACACTCCAGCCACATGAGGTCTAGCATTGTCTTGCATTAGGAGGAACCCAGGGCCAACCGCACCAGCATATGGTCTCACAAGGGGTCTGAGGATCTCATCTCGGTACCTAATGGCAGTCAGGCTACCTCTGGCGAGCACATGGAGGGCTGTGCGGCCCCCCAAAGAAATGCCACCCCACACCATGACTGACCCACCGCCAAACCGGTCATGCTGGAGGATGTTGCAGGCAGCAGAACGTTCTCCACGGCGTCTCCAGACTCTGTCACGTCTGTCACGTGCTCAGTGTGAACCTGCTTTCATCTGTGAAGAGCACAGGGCGCCAGTGGAGAATTTGCCAATCTTGGTGTTCTCTGGCAAATGCCAAACGTCCTGCACGGTGTTGGGCTGTAAGCACAACCCCCACCTGTGGACGTCGGGCCCTCATACCACCCTCATGGAGTCTGTTTCTGACCGTTTGAGCAGACACATGCACATTTGTGGCCTGCTGGAGGTCATTTTGCAGGGCTCTGGCAGTGCTCCTCCTGCTCCTCCTTGCACAAAGGCGGAGGTAGCAGTCCTGCTGCTGGGTTGTTGCCCTCCTACGGCCTCCTCCACGTCCCCTGATGTACTGGCCTGTCTCCTGGTAGCGCCTCCATGCTCTGGACACTACGCTGACAGACACAGCAAACCTTCTTGTCACAGCTCGCATTGATGTGCCATCCTGGATGAGCTGCACTACCTGAGCCACTTGTGTGGGTTGTAGACTCCGTCTCATGCTACCACTAGAGTGAAAGCACCGCCAGCATTCAAAAGTGACCAAAACATCAGCCAGGAAGCACAGGAACTGAGAAGTGGTCTGTGGTCACCACCTGCAAAACCAGTCCTTTATTGGGGGTGTCTTGCTAATTGCCTATAATTTCCACCTGTTGTCTATTCCATTTGCACAACAGCATGTGACATTTATTGTCAATCAGTGTTGCTTCCTAAGTGGACAGTTTTATTTCACAGAAGTGTGATTGACTTGGAGTTACATTGTGTTGTTTAAGTGTTCCCTTTATTTTTTTGAGCAGTGTATATTGTAGCATATTAGAAGGCTTGGAGGCGTGGCTTGTTGGGGGCGGGCTTTTCTTTGTGCCTTTTGGCCTCCCATGAGTTGGATTGTCATGCCAGTTAATATGTTATGTTGTGTTCTGAGGTAATAGTTGTCTTCTGAGATATCAAAGAGCCTACTAAGGTATCATTGTTAAGAAAGTCACCATTTTGTTACTGTATGATATGTCAATTTCTTTATATTTGCCATATATTGTAATATAAACATATATCTCTTACAAATACATTTCTATGCATGTTGGAATATATTTCCCAAATATATCGATAAATACATTATTTAATGTATTTCAGGATTTATTATTGAAATACATTTCCTGATGCATTTAACATATATTGTGACATATATTTTACATACATTTATACCTACATTTTAAATACATATACTCAGTTTTACTCAGTTTTTCACAATTCCTGACATTTAATCCTAGTAAAAATTCCCTGTCTTCGGTCAGTTAGGATCACCACTTTATTTTAAGAATGTGAAATGTCAGAATAATAGTAGAGAGAATGATTTATTTCAGCTTTTATTTATTTCATCACATTCCCAGTGGGTCAGAAGTTTACATACACTCAATTTGTATTTGGTAGCATTGTCTTTAAATTGTTTAACTTGGGTCAAACATTTTGGGTAGCCTTCCACAAGCTTCCCACAATAAGTTGGGTGAATTTTGGCCCATTCCTCCTGACAGAGCTGGTGTAACTGAGTCAGGTTTGTAGGCCTCCTTGCTCGCACATGCTTTTTCATTTCTGCCCAAACATTTTCTATAGGATTGAGGTCAGGGCTTTGTGATGGCCACTCCAATACCTTGACTCTGTTGTCCTTAAGCCATTTTGCCACAACTTTGGAAGTATGCTTGGGGTCATTGTCCATTTGGAAGACTAATTTGCGACCAAGCTTTAACTTCCTGACTGATGTCTTGAGATGTTGCTTCAATATATCCACATAATTTTCCTTCCTCATGATGCCATCTATTTTATGAAGTGCACCAGTCCCTCTTGCAGCAAATACCCCCACAGCATGATGCTGCCACCCCCGTGCTTCACGGTTGGGATGGTGTTCTTCGGCTTACAAGCGTCCCCCCTTTTCCTCCAAACATGACGTTGATCATTATGGCCAAACAGTTCTATTTTTGTTTCATCAGACCAGAGGGCATTTCTCCAAAAAGTACGATCTTTGTCCCCATGTGCAGTTGCAAACCGTAGTCTGGCTTTTTTATGGCGGTTTTGGAGCAGTGGCTTCTTCCTTTCTGAGCGGCCTTTCAGGTTATGTAGATATCGGACTTGTTTTATTGAGGATATATACAGTGGGGAGAACAAGTATTTGATACACTGCTGATTTTGCAGGTTTTCCTACTTACAAAGCATGTAGAGGTCTGTAATTTTTATCATAGGTACACTTCAACTGTGAGAGACGGAATCTAAAACAAAAATCCAGAAAATCACATTGTATGATTTTTAAGTAATTAATTTGCATTTTATTGCATGACATAAGTATTTGATCACCTACCAACCAGTAAGAATTCCGGCTCTCACAGACCTGTTAGTTTTTCTTTAAGAAGCCCTCCTGTTCTCCACTCATTACCTGTATTAACTGCACCTGTTTGAACTCGTTACCTGTATAAAAGACACCTGTCCACACACTCAATCAAACAGACTCCAACCTCTCCACAATGGCCAAGACCAGAGATCTGTGTAAGGACATCAGGGATAAAATTGTAGACCTGCACAAGGCTGGGATGGGCTACAGGACAATAGGCAAGCAGCTTGGTGAGAAGGCAACAACTGTTGGCGCAATTATTAGAAAATGGAAGAAGTTCAAGATGACGGTCAATCACCCTCGGTCTGGGGTTCCATGCAAGATCTCACCTCGTGGGGCATCAATGATCATGAGGAAGGCGAGGGATCAGCCCAGAACTACACGGCAGGACCTGGTCAATGACCTGAAGAGTAATGGGACCACAGTCTCAAAGAAAACCATTAGTAACACACTACGCCGTCATGGATTAAAATCCTGCAGCGCACGCAAGGTCCCCCTGCTCAAGCCAGCGCATGTCCAGGCCCGTTTGAAGTTTGCCAATGACCATCTGGATGATCCAGAGGAGGAATGGGAGAAGGTCATGTGGTCTGATGAGACAAAAATATAGCTTTTTGGTCTAAACTCCACTCGCCGTGTTTGGAGGAAGAAGAAGGATGAGTACAACCCCAAGAACACCATCCCAACCGTGAAGCATGGAGGTGGAAACATCATTCTTTGGGGATGCTTTTCTGCAAAGGGAACAGGACGACTGCACCGTATTGAGGGGAGGATGGATGGGGCCATGTATCGCGAGATCTTGGCCAACAACCTCCTTCCCTCAGTAAGAGCATTGAAGATGGGTCGTGGCTGGGTCTTCCAGCATGATAACGACCCGAAACACACAGCCAGGGCAACTAAGGAGTGGCTCCGTAAGAAGCATCTCAAGGTCCTGGAGTGGCCTAGCCAGTCTCCAGACCTGAACCCAATAGAAAATCTTTAGAGGGAGCTGAAAGTCCGTATTGCCCAGCGACAGCCCCGAAACCTGAAAGATCTGGAGAAGGTCTGTATGGAGGAGTGGGCCAAAATCCCTGCTGCAGTGTGTGCAAACCTGGTCAAGACCTACAGGAAACGTATGATCTCTTAAATTGCAAACAAAGGTTTCTGTACCAACTATTAAGTTCTGCTTTTCTGATGTATCAAATACTTATGTCATGCAATAAAATGCAAATTAATTACTTAAAAATCATACAATGTGATTTTCTGGATTTTTGTCTCTCTCACAGTTGAAGTGTACCTATGATAAAAATGACAGACCTCTACATGCTTTGTAAGTAGGAAAACCTGCAAAATCGGCAGTGTATCAAATACTTGTTCTCCCCACTGTATATACTTTTGTACCTGTTTCCTCCAGCATCTTCACAAGGTCCTTTGCTGTTGTTCTGGGATTAATTTGCACTTTTTGCACCAAAGTACGTTCATCTCTAGGAGACAAAACGTGTCTCCTTCCTGAGCGGTATGAAGGCTGCGTGGTCCCATGGTGTTTATACTTGCGTACTATTGTTTGTACAGATGAACATGGTACCTTCAGGCAATTTGGAAATTGCTCCCAAGGATGAACCAGACTTGTGGAGGTCTACAATTGTTTTTCTGAGGTCTTGGCTGATTTCTTTTGATTTTCACATGATGTCAAGCAAAGAGGCACTGAGTTTGAAGGTAGGCCTTGAAATATATCCACAGGTACACCTCCAATTGACTCAAATGATGTCAATTAGCTTATCAGAAGCTTCTAAAGCCATGAAATCATTTTCTGGAATTTTCCAAGCTGTTTAAAGGCACAGTCAACTTAGTGTATGTAAACTTCTGACCCACTGGAATTGTGATACAGTGATTTATAAGTGAAATAATCTGTCTGTAAACAATTGTTTGAAAAATATTGCACAAATTAGATGTCCTAACTGACTTGCCAAATCTATATTTTGTTAACAAGACATTTGTGGATTGGTTGAAAAACGAGTTTTAATGACTCCAACCTACCTACCTATCCGACTTCAACTGTATGTTGGAATGTATTTAAAATGTATGGAGAATTATTTTTAAATACATTATTTGGCAAATGTTTTATAATTCACCTGTATCCTAAAAAATGTATCTAAAAATGGTGCCCTAAGACCATAAAGTAAAAAAAACATATATATATATATATATATATATTTATATACAGTACCAGTCAAAAGTTTGGGCACACCTACTCATTCAAGGATTTTTCTTTATTTTTACTATTATCTACATTGTAGAATAATAGTGAAGACATCAAAACTATGAAATAACACATGGAATCATGTAGTAACCAAAAAAAGTGTTAAACAAATCAAAATATATTTTATATTTGAGATTCTTCAAATAGCCACCCTTTGCCTTGATGACAGCTTTGCACAATCTTGGCATTCTCTCAACCAGCTTCATGAGGTAGTCACCAGCAATGCATTTCAATTAACAGGTGTGCCTTCTTAAAAGTTAATTTGTAGAATTTCTTTCCTTCTTAATGCATTTGAGCCAATCAGTTGTGTTGTGACAAGGTAGGGGGGGGGGGGGTATACAGAAGATAGCCCTATTTGGTAAAAGACCAAGTCCATATTATGGAAAGAACAGCTCAAATATGTAACGTGAAACGACAGTCCATCATTACTTTAAGACATGAAGGTCAGTCAATACGGAACATTTCAAGAGCTTTTAAAGTTTCTTCAAGTGCAGTCGCAAAAACCATCAAGCGCTATGATGAAACTGGCTCTCATGAGGACCGCTACAGGAATGGAAGACCCAGAGTTACCTCTGCTGCAGAGGATAAGTTCATTGGAGTTACCAGCATCAGAAATTGCAGCCCAAATAAATGCTTCACAGAGTTCAAGTCACAGACACATCTCAACATCAACTGTTCAGAGGGGACTGTGTGAATCAGGCCTTCATGGTCGAATTGCTGCAAAGAAACCACTACTAAAGGACACCAATAATAAGAAGAGACCTGCTTGGGCCAAGAAACACGAGCAATGGACATTAGACCGGTGGAAATGTGTCCTTTGAAATGTTTGGTTCCAACCGCCGTGTCTTTGTGAGATGCGGTGTGGGTGAACGGATGATCTCTGCATGTGTATTTCCCACCGTAAAGCATGGAGGAGGAGGTGTTATGGTGTGGAGGTGCTTTGCTGGTGACACTGTCTGTGATTTATTTAGAATTCAAGGCACACTTAAACAGCATGTCTGCCACAGCATCTTGCAGTGATACGCCATCCCATCTGGTTTGGGCTATCATTTGTTTTTCAACCCAACACACCTCCAGGCTGTGTAAGGGCTATTTTACCAAGTAGGAGAGTGATGGAGTGCTGCATCAGATGACCTGGCCTCAACAATCCCCCGACCTCCACCCAATTTGAAATGGTTTGGGATGAGTCAGACCGCAGAGTGAAGGAAAAGCAGCCAACAAGTGCTCAGCATATGTGGGAACTCCTTCAATACTGTTGGAAAAGATTTCCAGGTGAAGCTGGTTGAGAGAATGCCAAGAGTGTGCAAAGCTGTCATCAAGGCAAAGGGTGGCTATTTCAAGAATCTCAAATATAAAATATATTTTGATTTGTTTAACAGTTTTTTGCTTACTACATGATTCCATATGTGTTATTTCATAGTTTTGATTTCTTCACTATTATTCTACAATGTAGAAAATAGTAAAAAATAAAGAAAAACCCTTGAATGAGTAGGCGTGTCCAAACTTTGGACTGGTACTGTATATACACAAGATACATCAACAAGTACATTACATTTGAACATCATGAACATCACAGCCATCATAAACAAGTTGCTAAATCAATCAAAACAATTGTACACATCAGTGAACAAATTTAACATCAGGGTTTTAAAATGCCCTTGTGGCACCAGGGAATCCAAATGTAATGAATTTTGTATGTGATCCCAATGTGGAGCATGAAAACTAAAAACGGATTTACCTAATTCCGTGGAGACCCGAGGAATCTGAAGAGTTAACCAGCCCTGTGAACAGGTTTGGTATCTCATTCTTTTATACGTTAGCAATGAAGTTAGGTAAGTTGGAAACTTGTTTACAAGGGCTTTGTAAACAAAAAGGGAGTAATGAATTGATCTACGGTACTTTAATGAGGACCAGCCAACCTTTTGATACAGGATGCAGTGGTGAGTATTAAAACTGTCACCAGTGATAAAATGAATGGCAGCTCTAAAATAGCCTGTTCAACAGTTGTGGCAATGGCATACATAACAGTGTCATCTGCATACAGATGAATATGACAAGTTTTAACAGATAGACCAACATTGTTTATATACAGTTGAAGTCGGAAGTTTACATACACTTATGTTGGAGTCATTAAAACTAGTTTTTCAACCACTCCACAACTTTCTTGTTAACAAACTATAGTTTTGGCAAGTCGGTTAGGACATCTACTTTGTGCATGACACAAGTCATTTTTCCAACAATTGTTTACAGACAGATTATTTCACTTATATTTCAAGGCCTACCTTCAAACTCAGTGCCTCTTTGCTTGACGTCATGGGAAAATCAAAAGAAATCAGCCAAGACCTCAGAAAAAATATTGTAGACCTCCACAAGTCTGGTTCATCCTTGGTAACAACTTCCAAACACCTGAACGTTCATCTGTACAAACAATAGTACACAAGTATAAACACCATGGGACCACGCAGCCTTCATACCGCTCAGGAAGGAGACGCGTTCTGTCTCCTAGAGATGAACGTACTTTGGTGCGAAAAGTGCAAATCAATCCCAGAACAACAGCAAAGGACCTTGTGAAGATGCTGGAGGGAACAGGTACAAAATTATCTATATCCACAGTAAAACTAGTCCTATATCGACATTACCTGAAAGGCTGCTAAGCAAGGAAGAAGCCGCTGCTCCAAAACCGCCATAAAAAAGCCAGACTATGGTTTGCAACTGCACATGGGGACAAAAATCGTACTTTTTTGAGAAATGTCCTCTGGTCTGATGAAACGAAAATAGAACTGTTTGGCCATAATGACCATCGTTATGTTTGGAGGAAAAAGGGGGTACTTGCAAGACGAAGAACACCATCCCAACCGTGAAGCACGGGGGTGGCAGTATCATGCTGTGGGGGTGCTTTGCTGCAGGAGGGACTGGTGCACTTCACAAAATAGGAAGGAAGGAAAATTCCATCATGAGGAAGGAAAATTATGTGGATTTATTGAAGCAACATCTCAAGACATCAGTCAGGAAGTTAAAGCTTGGTCGCAAATGGGTCTTCTAAATGGACAATGACCCCAAGCATACTTCCAAAGTTGTGGCAAAAATGGCTTAAGGACAACAAAGTCAAGGTATTGGAGTGGCCATCACAAGGCCCTGACCTCAATCCTATAGAAAATCTGTGGGCAGAACTGAAAAAGCGTGTGCGAGCAAGGAGGCCTACAAACCTGACTCAGTTACACCAGCTCTGTCAGGAGGAATGGGCCAAAATTCACCCAACTTATTGTGGGAAGCTTGTGGAAGGCTACCTGATCCGTTTGACCCAAGTTAAACAATTTAAAGGCAATGCTACCAAATACTAATTGAGTGTATGTAAACTTCTGACCCACTGGGAATGTGATGAAATAAATAAAAGCTGAAATAAATCACTCTCTACTATTATTCTGACATTTCACATTCTTAAAATAAAGTGGTGATCCTAGCTGACCTAAGACAGGGAATTTTTACTAGGATTAAATGTCAGGAATTGTGAAAAACTGAGTTTAAATGTATTTGGCTAAGGTGTATGTAAACTTCCGACTTCAACTGTAACTAGTAAAGAGAACAAGTTCCAGTACCGACCCCTGCCGTACACCTTTTGTAATATCCATAAAACTAGCTGAGTTAGATTTAGCTCAGTACAAATATCTTTCAGCCCATCAGATACTGGCATCAACCAATCTAGATTAAGAGCAATCATTATCAGTCATTCAGATTGAGCATAGTTAGACAGCAGGTCAGACAATTTGCTAAGAGCTCATATGGAGGCAGAGGGAGGGCGATAAATTCCCACTAGCGTCAGAGTTCCACATTTAGGACTAGACATTCAAATTGCATATGGACAGAGGTGGTGATGGATACATAAACATTTAAATTGCTCTTTATGTATATGGTGACACCACCTCCTCTGCCGACTCTATCAGATCTAAAAACATTATAAACTGTCAGATACACATCAGAGTCTGGCATAGACTTCTTTAGCCAAGATTCAGTTATAACCAGAATGCTTGAGAAGGCAAGATTCAGTTATAACCAGAATGTTTGAGAAGCCAAGATTCAGTTATAACCAGAAGGTTTGAGAAGCCAAGATTCAGTTATAACCAGAAGGTTTGAGAAGCCAGAGTTGCAATAAAATCCATTTTCAAAATCAAACTTCTGGCATTTACATGAATCAGTCCAAGGCCGCAGCTGCGGGATTTCAGAATTTCTTTCCATTTATTTTTTATTTTTAGTCATTTAGCAGACGCTCTTATCCAGAGCGACTTACAGTTAGTGAGTGCATACATTTTTCATACTGATCAGATGGAGTTTCTAATACAAACATGCAATGTTCAACAGGTAACCCCCTACTAGAAAATACCATGGGGTTGGCTTGAATTGGAATATATACAAAATTGTCTAGAACTGTACCATTGGGCCAATGCCTCGATCGAGGACATGGGTTAAAACAATAATCAATTATGGTTACTTGTTGCGGGCCTGCAGTATGATGATAATGCTGATAATTTATGGTTGGGATTATCTGAACGGGACTTGGGGTGTATATTGTTTCCTCTCTGGGGATTAATAAAGTTAAAATCATTCAATTCAGGAAGTTTGCCTTTGTGTGCCACCTGTGTGCGGTGGACCTGCTGTGTGCCGTGCTGCTCATGCCCCTGGGCATTGTGTCCTGCTCGCCGTACTTCGCCAGCGTGGTGTTCACAGTGCTGGAGTGCCAGGTGTACGTCTTCCTCAACGTGTTCCTCATCGCAGGTAAAGTACAAGGGACAGATACAATTTAGGGCTGCAAACGAAATGGCATGCTATTGGTCAAAAGTAGTGCTAGGGTGCCATTTCGGACACATGGCCTTTAATCAATCAATGGTTTTATTGTTTGATTTAGACGTCCTTTGTGTTTTTTATGTTCTAATATTCATCTCTTTTTATCACTTTAATTTGATTGTTGTACTGTGTGTAGCGATTTATAAAGTTTTATTTGATATGAATTACAGCCTCCATCTTCACCATCACGGCCATCAGCGTGGAGCGCTACTACTACATTGTCCACCCCATGCGCTACGAGGTAAAGATGACCCTGAAGCTGGCCACAGCTGTCATGGTCCTGGTCTGGGTGGCCTCAGCCCTCCTGGGGCTGGCCACTGTTTTTGGCTGGCCCAGCTATGGCAGCTTGAGCTCCATCAGCGCCGCCCACTGCTCTCTCCACTGGAGCCACAGCGGCCACCGCCGGGCCTTCTCTGTCCTCTTCACAGTGGCATGTTTCTGCCTTCCCGCTGCGGTCATCTTCGCTGTGTACTGTAACGTATATAAAGTGGCACGTGTGGCGGCTAGACAGCACGGACCGTTACCATCTTGGACGGCCAGCCATCTTAAACACCGGTCGGATTCCATCAGCAGCCAGACCACTATCATCACCACCCGCAACGCCCCCAGGAGGCTGCACCACCAAAGGCCTTTTGGCGGGGGCAAGGCCGCCCTCACCCTGGTGGTCATTGTGGGCCAGTTCCTGCTCTGCTGGCTGCCTTACTTTGCCTTCCACCTGCACCTGACTATCAACAACCCGGCCAAAATCCCACCTGACCTAGAGGAGGCCGTCACCTGGCTAGCGTACTCCTCCTTTACCGTCAACCCATTCTTTTACGGGCTGCTGAACCGCCAGATCAGGGAGGAGCTGTGTAAACTGCGGCGCTGCTACTCCGCCCAGCCCGTCGAGCTGGCCCTGTCCAGTGGCCTCGAGGGCTCGGCCCACGAGAACTTCCTGCAGTTCCTCCAGAGGACCAGCTGTACGGTGGAGACCAGAGCCAGCTTTGCCTGCACATCCAGCCCCAGGAACACCCTGGACCAGACAGCGCAGCAGACAGCTGACTTCAGGATACCTGGACAGATACCTGAGGAGTTCAATTAAAACGCCCCTGATATACTAACCTGGACGCCACTTATATACTGTCACTGTATGGACACAAGTACCTGACTGCTGTAATGGCACAAGAGTTTAGTTAAAACTGTTAAAACACCTTTATATCTGGCCATTGGAACCATATTGACTTCTGAATGGCTTTACCACAGGTATACTAGAAGCAGGAACAGCCTGGACAAGACTGGGCAGACGGCTGGGTTCAGGATACCAGGGCAAATACCTGAGGAGTTCAGTTAATCAACAATAATCTTAGATACTTATGCCACTGGCACCTACTGTAGTTGACTGCTGTAATGGCTGTGCCAACTGCCCCAGGACTACTGACCTAGAGCAGCAGAACTAGCCTGGGCGTCATTTCCCAGAGCCTTCGTAGCGTTAAGATCATCGTTAGAACCTTCTTACGATGTATCTTTAATAGCCAAGGTTTTTCCCAGAGCTTTTAGTAGTAACGTGGCCCTTAAAAAACTTTGCACATCTACGAGTGATCCAGACCACTTGTAGAGGAACCAAAGTGCATTGTTAGATGCTTTTTTGCCCTTCCGCGTCACTTTATTCAATATAGAATCAAGATGTTTAGGCTCTCTGTCTGACTGTGACTGCCGATAACTTCAGAATGAAGTTGACTACAGATATAAAGTTGCCAAAGTGTTAGCAAATTTTACAAACAAGTGAAGGATAAAATGGTGCTTCAAATGAAAACCGAGATGACTGCATTAAAAGATACATAGGCTACATGGGCCAATATAGGCTATTTCAATCATATTTAAATAATTTCATGTTCAATCACACTGGGCACAGATGTCAATTGAACGTCTATTCCATGTTGGTTCAATGTAATTTCATTGAAATGACGTGAAAACAATGTTGATTCAACCAGCATGTGCCCAGTGGGATCAATTTAGTTCTATTTTGCCTCAATGTGTTTCATGGTGTGTGACAACATGTGCGCAATAATGTGCCCAATCTGTGATTTAGTGTATTATTATTGGGTAAGCATAATATGCCGCCTCAATAGCCTATTTGCAGCCATAGGTGGTAATATCTCTCTACGAGCTGATCCGTTGTCAGTATTGTGAAATAATTATAATGTTAAGGTAAGATTTGAATGGAGAAAGCTGATCCGAGAGCAGCGCTGCTTTTCTTTGGATCCTATCAGTATCGACATGTGGTCTAACGACGCACTTAGTGAACGTTCTCTTTACGTGATAGTTTAGGAAACACAATTAAAAACGTAGTGCGTAAATAACGATGCATCTGGTACGATCATCATAATGCTTAAGTTACATCGCAACTGGGAAATGAGGCCCTGGTCCCAGATCTGTTTGTGCTGTCTTGCCAACTCCAATTGTTATGCCTGACAATGACCATAGGAGAAAACACTAACAGATTGTACTAGCCCACTGGGCAGAATATGGTTGAATCAACATTGTTTCCTCGTCATTTCAACCAAAATATTCAATGTGATGACGTTGAATCAACATGGAATACTGATAGAATTTGCAAAAAGTCATGAACGTAAGGGAATTTGGTCTTTTTTTCACCCAACTTTGTACCTAAATCCAATGAATGACAGGGTGGCATTTTTGGTTGATTTCACGTTGAATTCACATTAGTTGACAACTTAACTAAATGTAAATCAAAACTAGATGTTGAACTGACGTCTGTGCCCTGTGTGAGACCACATCAACACCAGGACTAATGAAGGACTTCAACCTCAGTCCAGTGGAGAACCGTACTGCCCCCTACACACAGAGACAGCACTTGAAGGGACTACAAGTAGAGTGTGTTCTTTTGATTGAGTTTTTTGTATGTTGTTGCATTCAGAGATTAGTCCAGCATATACCTGAAGTGCATTATGTCCTGAAAAATACAGTTATTGTTATTATTTGTTATTTCTAGCTACAACTACCACTAATAGAGGGACTAATTCTACTACCTACTACCAACCATTCCAATCACCTATATTACTACTAGTATATTATACTACCACTACTACTACCAGTACAATGTTTGAGTTGAGAGACAATACAAATTAATACTTGACTAATGTTATTTCCATTGTATCATACATCCACTGTCTGAACAACTTTGATTATTTATTACTTATTCCATGTTCAATACGGTGAACATTGAACACTCTAAGTGTACAGTTGAGCTATTTCTATTACACAATATCAAATGTGATAATTTCACTATTTGGTTCTCCGTTTAGGTTTAATTGCAATATTCTTAACTATATACAGTATTTTTCTTACAAAACAATGTGTTATTATACATTGAGTGTACAAAACATTAGGAGCACCTTCCTAATATTGAGTTGCACCCCTTTCTGCCCTCAGAACAGCCTCAATTTGTCGGGGTATGGACTCTACAAGGCGTCAAAAGAGTTCCACATGGATGCTGGCCCGTGTTGACTCCAATGCATCCCACAGTTGTGTCAAGTTGGCTGGATGTCCTTTGGGTGGTGGACCATAGTTGATACACATAGGAAACTGTTGAGCGTGAAAACCCAGCAGCGTTGCAGTTCTTGACACACTCAAACCGGTGCGCCTGGCACCTACAACCATACCCCGTTCAAAGGCACTTCAATCACTTTGTCTTGCCCATTCACCCTCTGAATCGCACGCATAAACAATCCATGTCCTAATTGTCTCAAGGCTTAAAAATCCTTCTTTAACCTGTCTCATCCCCTTTATCTAAACTGATTGAAGTGGATTGAAAGTGACATCAATAAGGGATCATAGCTTTCACCTGGATTCACCTGGTTAGTCTATGTCATGGAAAGTGTTCCTAATGTTTTGTACACTCAGTGTATGTTATCATAAGTTAGAGCACATTGCATTCAATAGGCTACCTTTTTACAGGTGATGGCAGACTGCCCCCTCAAAGGGGATTTCTTTCTATATGGACTAGTTGTTTTTGCTTTAATTGTGGAAATAAACTTCTGAAGGAGCTGTTTGCAAGAAATTATGTTTATGCTGTTCTGAAAACATGTCCTTTACTTCATATATAAGGAGAAAAACCATTGCATAACCGCTCTCAATGTGGTCATCTCTAATACCTGTTTAACATGTATAGAGCTCGCCAGCTTGTAGTCCTAAAAAACTGAAATGATTTAGCCATGGCTCGTTGGTCAAAGCCTATGGGGAAATGAATGGGGTTTAACACAGGCTTAGGACATCTTAAGTTTTGTTCTATGAGATAATATCAGTCAGTTAACATGACTTTTATGAATTATGAAGCCTTTATGTGCTTGTTTTGATTACATAAATGCTTCTAAATGTAAGAAAGTGACATTAGCTGATGAAGGTTATCTCAAAGAACAAAACGTATAAGATATCCTAAGACTGTGTTTACCACAGAACTTATTTTTAAGGCGTTTATCCAAAAACCCTCCAAAAACACCATTAATTTCCCCATAGGCTTTGACCAATGAGCCGTGGCAGAGCTAGCCGAGATACAACACTGTTCACAGTTCAAGTTAAGGTGTCAAATGAAGGAAAATTATGATGTTGCCCTATAAATCCCACAAAGCACAGAGAGAGATTAGATTTAAGGGATAGTATTATGGGATAGAGACAGACATGGGTGATCAACACAAAAATAACATTATGAACTACATTTTTTATATCCTTTCGTGTCCCCGCGGCCCAGATTCAAACAAAAAGGTGAATCTGCAAACAGATAGATAAATAAATAAACAGATTAGTGGAATAGCTAGATACACTGTATATGAATGAGCTCCAATTCCTGGTCCAGCTCTGCCCACTCATGCCAGCTGGCTGGGTTGCCATGGGAATTCCCAGGAAAGACAGAAAGTTGGAACATCTTGGGTGTTTGGAGGGAATTCAGGGCAAGACTTTAGCTTGTGACAGCGAGGCAGAGGAAATGCATCCTAAACAGATTCACACGCACACACATGCATACACACACACACAAAAAAAACAGTTCAGAGTATTTGTATTGAGGCTAAATTCAGGGCCAAGTATTGTAAAATCTTAAAACCGTGATAACACGCTGCTGTTTGGTGTGCAAATATATTGAAATGACTATCACCTCCACAGGAGAACATTTACAGAGATGGAGTATCCAGAATAAACAATGATAGGCATTGTATTCAGGATGGAAACTCAACAATTTATTATTATTATTATTATAACAATGGATCCCAGCAGCCTCTGTCTCTGTCTGTTCTCTTCTGAAGGAGCTTGATAATCTTGGCCGATTATAATGACGCCTGGACAAAACCTGGTGACGACATACAGTCTACAGGAAAAACTGTCACCTAAATGCAAAGGCATATGTGGGAAAATAATATTCAACACACATATGCACGCACACACGTGTACTCACACAGAGGGAGTAATGCTACATTTTAGGATTACAGTGTGCTGTCATAAAATAAGACACAACTCTTATTAAGCCTAGGATTAGAGTTCCCTTTATACACACACACCAACTCTCTACATCTATACACACATGCACACACACGTTAAAACAAACCATTGCCTTGGTGTTCAACTGACACCAATTTGCATGTTTTGAAATCTCCTGCTATCCCTGTCCATCTGGAATTTACATGAGCTAAAATAAATCAAAATATTTCAATTAGTGTCGTACTATGGACCATGCACGGAGTTGATGTTATGGACAGAGAGAAGATTTGATTCCAGATTTCTGAGTTGAGTTTAACATATTTTTATATGATTTTGAGCATTGTGGTTTAAAACATGTTGATACAGTGGGGGAAAATAGTATTTAGTCAGCCACCAATTGTGCAAGTTCTCCCACTTAAAAAGATGAGAGTGGCCTGTAATTTTCATCATAGGTACACGTCAACTATGACAGACAAATTGAGAAAAAAAAATCCAGAAAATCACATTGTAGGACTTTTAATGAATTTATTTGCAAATTATGGTGGAAAATAAGTATTTGGTCACCTACAAACAAGCAAGATTTCTGGCTCTCACAGACCTGTAACTTCTTCT